ATCGAGTCGCTCAGGTAATAATAAATTATCTCACATTTCTCGCCCATTAATATATACAGTTGTACTCGTTTTTAAATGAAAAACATTGAAATCATTCATTATATATTAACGAAGATGACATGATTGTGAATACGACAAATACTGAAGGCGATCGGAGAGGAGGGCAGAGCCGTGTACAACGCAGGACAGGCAAATGGGCTAACATTTTGGGCGCCAAACATAAACATATTTAGGGACCCGAGATGGGGGAGAGGTCAAGAGACACCTGGCGAGGACCCATTGGTTGCCGGAAAGTACTCAGTTGCTTACGTTAGGGGAATTCAAGGGGACAGTTTCGAAGGAGGGGCGCTTAAGGATGGCCGGCTCAAAGCCTCAGCTTGTTGCAAACACTACACTGCCCATGATTTGGACAATTGGAAAGGGGTCACTCGTTACGTCTTTGATGCCAAAGTAAGTGTGTAGTTTTAATTAAGTCAGGATAAATTGCAAAATATAGTCAGTATCTTGTAACTGGTGACATTAATAGCCACTAGCAATAATAGCCATTGAATTTGATCGGATTTGGATAATAACCCCGAAATTTTAAATGTTGTTGGCTACTATTGTCAATGATATTGTCACCGCGTGCACGATAGTGGCTACATTTTGCAATGAAACCAAATTAACCCAACACATGAATTTTATTGATTTGTACTATTTGGATATATATACATATATAACTACTATGAAGGTGAGCAAGCAAGATTTAGCGGATACGTACCAGCCACCATTCAGGGCATGTGTGGAAGAAGGGCGGGCGAGCGGCATAATGTGCGCATACAACCGTGTGAATGGGGTGCCGAGCTGTGCGGATTACAGTCTACTCACTGAGACTGCTCGAAAACAGTGGGGTTTTCAAGGGTAAACTCAAATTGAAACCATATCTCTCTCATCAGTTGTGTACTTTCTCATTTATGTGTTGATTAATTAATTAATTTAAGGTACATTGTCTCGGACTGCGATGCCGTCGCAATCATACATGACCAGCAAGGGTATGCTAAACAGCCTGAAGATGCAGTTGCAGATGTTCTTCAAGCTGGTATCCCTAATATTTTCATATACCGCTAATCTATATATCTTCATCCATAATCCATATATGTAATATATATCGATAACTCGAGTAGCTTCTTGAAGCTTATGAAATAATTCAGACAACATCATGAAAATACACCCAAGAAATTACGTTTAATTTATTTTTTAGTAACAATTTGGGACCATCAGTCCATAATTATAGACAAGTGGCAGAGGTCATCATCATGCATTTGTTCGTCCCGTTCCATATAAGTTGTTCGAAATGAGTACTGCTGCTGTGTTCAGTTTCTCGTGCGCATCAAATTATCAGCCTTTTTAACCCTTTTTACTCGGATGCTACGGGATGTGTGAGCATGCTGATTGATGAAAAAAGAATCATCTTTGATAGTAGGCCCGGTCCAGATGACCCATGGTTTGAGAAGCATGCAATGTGATAAAAATAATTGATGAATATACACATGCAAGTTCAATGATTGCTTCCTTAGTAACCTTTATTCATGGTACAATGTATGTATTGTACCCCAAGCACAAGCTGGCTTTCACCATTTTTGTCCATCAAAGAACAATAACCAAGAATGGCCTAAACTCAAAGGCCTAAGGACTCCGGACATGAATATGTTGCTGTTTTAGAGGGGTTATATGTGAATTGGTGAATTAATTTAGTGTACTCATATCGTTGTTAATCTAAGTGTGTTTGTGCAAAAAACAAAACTTATTTACAGGCATGGACATGGACTGTGGCAGCTATCTTTTGAAACACACGAATTCGGCTGTGGCCCGCAACAAAACACTTGAACAAGACATCGACCGGGCCCTCACCAGCCTCTTCTCCATCCGAATGAGACTCGGGCTTTTCAACGGTGACCCGACAAAACTCGAATACGGGAATATCAGCCTGGCCCACGTCTGCAGCAAAACCCACCTCGACCTGGCCCTGGAGGCTGCCCGATCCGGCATCGTCCTCCTAAAAAACGACGCACGACTCCTCCCTTTCCATAAGTCTCAAAACGCATCCATTGCCGTCATTGGGCCCCACGCAAACTCCACCGAGCCCTTTCTCGGGAACTATGAGGGTGTCCCGTGCGGGAACACCACAATCCTCGAGGCCCTCCAAAAGTACTACTCGGTAAGCACGGTCGGGTACCACCCGGGCTGTGACTCGGTAAATTGTACCTCGGATAGATTAATTGATGAAGCAGTGGGCGTTGCAAAAGAGGCTGACTATGTTGTTATGATAATGGGGTTGGATCAAACAATTGAGCGGGAAAAACTCGACAGGCTCGAGCTGGGGCTGCCGGGGAATCAGGAAAATCTCGTGACGAGAGCTGCAAAGGTTGCGAAAAGGCCGGTGGTGCTAGTTTTGCTGTGTGGGGGCCCAGTCGATGTTTCGTTTGCTAAGGAGAACCCTAGAATTGGGAGCATCTTGTGGGCGGGCTATCCCGGAGAGGCCGGGGGAGTTGCTGTTGCACAGACTTTGTTTGGTGATAACAATCCAGGTGATGTATTAATTATTGAAGAATCACTACAGTCCCTTCACGGAATGATTTTGTGGTTATTATCAGCCTTTAGATACATATATAGATTAGTGTAGAATAAGTGTGGGTAGATAATAAATGATTATAACATAATTATTCCGTGACTGTAGTCATTTTCTTTTATTTATTTAGTGTGTGTTACTTATTTATTAATTTGTTGTTAGTTAAACCTTTTAAATTAATGCAGGCGGGAAATTACCGGTGACTTGGTACCCGAAAGAGTTTGTGAGAGTAGCAATGACAGATATGAGAATGCGGCCGGATCCATCCACCGACTATCCTGGCCGAACATACAGATTCTACACGGGCCCAAAAGTTTTTGAATTCGGGCACGGTCTAAGCTACACAGAGCACTCTTACGAATTCGTCTCCGTTAAGCCACGCAACATATCTATAAATAGAAAATCTGGTCCTCATGCGCAGGCCCGGTCCGCAACGGTTTCGAGCCTGGGAGCGGCCAAGTCATGCAAGGAGATGAAATTGGAGGTGCAGGTGAACGTTAAAAATCATGGGGATATGGAGAGCAAACATGCGGTGTTGCTGTTTGTGCGGGATAACAAGGGGAGAAGGCTGGTCGGGTTTCAGAGCGTGAGTTTGAGGGAAGAGGAAAGTAAAGAGATAGATTTTGTGGTGAGGCCGTGCGAGCATCTTAGCCGTGCGGACGAGGATGGGGTGATGGTGATCGAGGAGGGTACATTGACCTTGGAGGTGGGGGATGAGGTCTATACTGTTGATGTGTTTTTTCCGACTTTAAAATTCTAATAGCTTGGCTAAATTCTGTAACTTTTTCGTAATATTGTTCTTTTTCTTTTTCTGCTTTTAATTCAGACAGATGAATTATTATTCATATGTTATATTCTGTTATAAAGTTTCCAATCTTTTAGGCCGTGTACAATTTTGATTGGGCTGAAGGTCGCGTTTCAATGGCCTAAAAACACTTGTATGGCCCGGTCTCTAAGCATTCCTGCGCTCGCCCCGCACTCTTCATGCGACTCGACACCGAGCACCAGGGGTCATCGAGGGCGGCGCATGTACGTGCGCGCACGAGAAGTAACGCCTGTGAGATGTCCAGGGATGTGCACGTGCTCGGCTGACATGATCGCGCTTCGCTCATTGGTGAATCAAATAAGCAGCTACCGAATACATATGCTCGTTATTATATTACGGGTTAAGTGTACGAGTAAGGTCTAGCTCATTTACTTGATTAGTATAAAACGAGCATATCCTCTCTGGTTAGTTCAATACTTCATAAATGTACTAGTTTAATTCATTAGTCAATATCAACTAATTCTAAACTTACAATACAACAGTTCACGACAATTAGTTCAATTATGTCTAAGTTATGAACCATATTTATATTTTATAAGAAAACGATAATATGATCTTCTATTCAACATGATGAACCATATTATTTGTAAAGTAAAATAAGTGAAAATTGTTTTAATTAAACAAAACGCAAACACACTTGACAAAACATGAATCTCATTCAAAATGAAACCAAGTTCGTTTGCAGTTCACGCACTAACATTATTGCACTAACCAAGCCTCTTCAGTGTTTTTCTGCCCCGATAGTCATTGAGTCGAGCGGTGTCGCCGGGAGACATCTGAGATATCTACTTCATGTAGGTTATGGACAATAGAAGAAGAATGAGCCTTAGTACAAGGCTTAAAAGACATAGCGACATTGGGATGGAAATATTACAACGAATTTCGATCCGGACCATAGGCGAGAATGTACAAGGGGCAAAAACAATCCACTTCAAGTCATGGCCATTTTATTTTGCTTGGTGTGAAATATTTGGAAAAGATCCGACCACAGGCAATAATGCACAAGGGTCCGCCGATGTTATTAAAGAGGTCCTGAATAGCCCACAAGAACTTTCATCAACTAACAAGACCAAGACAACATTCATTGGCTTTATTGATTATAGAGATTTTAGGTTATTCAAAATTTGATTACAAGATAGTTTACGAATGCCAGAGGTCTCACGTCCGTCTTCTAAATCCGACTGCATACATCGACTATTACCAGCACCAGCGCTCACTTTGGCAAGATCACTAAAGACGGAACAATGATATGCAATAAGGGGTTTGGGAAAAGGGCAAATTTGTCAATTTACCTTCTAGTCCTAAGAGTGATATGGGATTGCAAACAGAAGAGCATGTTAAATTTAGTCCTACCAAATATATTAATAATGTATAACGAATGGAAAGAATGAAATGAGTAACTGAACTAATGCTGCTAACTCGACTAATGATGTGAGGAAAGAATGAAATGAGTAATTCTATGCTTCGAAGTGAGATGCATTGTTTGTTGCAGGATGCAAAATTCTGTTCCCAAGTCATCGACTTATAGTCAATTTTGGGCAAGTTCCACAAGTCCAAAGTGCAATTATATAACGATCACACCAGCACGATTACATTATGCTAAAGACTCGGCAAAATAAGTAATTCGCTCTAATATAATAGTCTATTAACATCACATAAATGACCGACTAAACAAACAGAAAACAACTGTGCATAGTGGACAACTTGCTATAGAGAGAACCTACCACTAGATAGTACAACATTACTTTCTATCATAAAACACTTGACAGTAAGCAAGCAGACAAAAGGGTCATAGTGAGATCTTGAGAATTTATCTTTCTGCTTTTCAAAAATTTATCATCAGAAATGAAGCTGTAAAAGAAAAGAGAAAAAGACATAAGATTAAGCCTTCAATAAAAAGTAAAAATCGATAAGGTTGTAATTTTATTCTTTTTACCTCAACTAGGATTGAAACATCTCATCTAACTTCTGCCTGTACTGAGCTAACCTCTGCATGAGTGAAAAAACGAAGACAAGTCAAAACTCGCACTTCATTGAAAGAAACTGCATTCGTACAGTGAAACACGTTTTTTCTGTAGAAATACATTATTTATCAACCAAAGAGCTTTCAGATTACTGAATATGCAATCATCTTTGTCTTGTCTGTTAAATCAAACCGTCTTTGAATGCTGAAAGATATTTTGTTTGTTCCTCCCGAAAAAACATCTAATCAGGAAAATACAAATGTATTTCTGGATACACACTAACATGTGTTCAACTCTGCCAAGAAAAATAAGCATACCCCGATACAGTTAGGGATGTTCAGATATTCCATGACAAGCTGACGTCACAAGTCATACATGCCCCATTTCCATATACATGTATGTTTTAAGATTCTTTTACTAGAATAAAAAAAGAATCGACGAAGAATATCCCAAAGAAATTAACAGACTAAAAAAATAGAAAGAAAAAAAAAATGATTCCGTAAAGGGGAAAAATGCTCCAAATTATTTCCCTATAATAGATGAATCACATCCAAGGATGAAGAAAAAGTCATATACCTTAGTATAAGCATAAACACCAGTTTCAGTTGGTGCAACGGGACTACCTCTACGAATAAAGCTTCCCTCGTTGAAAATGTAAAGCATCGGTATCCCAGTTGATAGTTCCAAGCTAATTACCTGACAACAAAAGAAAATATACATATGTGCAGCTCACATTTTAATAGTAGAAACTGGAACAAAATACTGATATACCCACTTTTTTATGAGGTACCCACCTCTTGAGAAGTCAGCTTGTCCAGATACATAATAATGGACCTCAGTGAGTTCCCATGGGCCGCAATCATTACATTTTTACCAGATACAAGCTGCGGTTCGATCTGTTTCATTAAACAGTTAGTACCACAATAACCTCATCAACAAAATAAAGGAGTGTTCTCGAAAACTTCTACGCATGGAGAGATTGTTAATTTCGACAACCAGAAATTGGCAACATTTATGAACAGAAGCTAAAAGTAAAATGAATTCTAAAAAACAATAAGGAGTCTTTATGTCAACATGAAAAAATATTATTATTATTATTTTTATTTTTTTTGGGACAAGAAATTGACAGTTACTGCTTTTCTCTTTTCTTATATTTGGCTTGCAAGAGCAAAAAACCATACAAGTAAAATAAAATAACAGAAACAGAGATGTGAAGAGAAAGTAATACGTATTCTTTAAAGAATGCAACTGCTCTCTCAGCACACATTTCCAAACTCTCGCCATTAGGCGGAGGTATATCATAACTACGTCTCCACACGTGAACTTGTTCTTTTCCATATCTATCAGCCGTTTCTTGTTTATTAAGGCCCTGTAGTTCCCCATACCTGGAAACGAGTTTCACTGATTGGTTAAGAACCATACTATATGGCCAAACAGCACAAAAAAGTCGCGAAGCTTGCCCAAGTCTATCAACTCACATTCTTTCGTTCAGTTGCCATGCTGTAATAACTGGAATACACTGCTTTTTAGTTTCCTCACTAAAGATTTGGCTCCATTCTCTTGCTTGCTCGTTCTCATCGTGCAAGATAATTGGAACCTGCAATTGGATTTTTCAATGTCATAGTTTTAAGTTTTTATAGGCCTTAAAAATCTGTGTTTATAAAATAAGCGAATATAAAACTAAGTGCGTAGCATTCTGATGAGGTAAATCATCAGAAAAGGTGCCCGTATCTTAATAACCATTCGATTGCAAGCGCTTTACAAAACATACCCTTTGGATTAAGGTAATCGCACACATACACACATACGCTCAAGAACGATGTACTTGGAAGGTAGTCACAGATTTTTTTTTTCTTTCAATAAACTAAAAAATCCCCATTTCACAGTTTATCATCCTTTTTTTTTTTTTTCTTCATAAAAGAAAATAACACATCCTCGCTTTAGCTAAACTTTATATAAAATAACTATACCTTCTTGCGACGGTGCTCGGTCATGGCAAGCATGGCAGTCATTTGTGCACGAATAAGTGCAGAAGTGTAGATAACATCAACTGGTATATTGCTTATTCTTTTGCCAGCTTCAATAGCCTCCTCAACCCCCTTATTCGTTAAAGGCACATCGACACAGCCTGTGAACAAGTTTTTCTCGTTCCACATAGACTCACCATGCCTAATTAAAATTAATGCAGCTTCATCTAGAAAAGGGATAAAGAAAAATCAAACAATATCAGAAAAAAAAACTACACCGGCAAGCATATCCAGCTACATTATAGAATGCAAAGTATTTTTCCTTTTTGTTATTCTCAATTATCCTTCTTTTTTCCTTTTGCACCAAATTATTAGACACGGAATTACTTGATTTCTTCTTGGTGCCATTTGATGGAGACGAAATTGACTCAAAAACTGTAGTCTCGGAAGTTGAGCCTTGAACCACACTGAATCTTCTCATTCCAGAGCAAGAAGTTCTTTGTCTCAAACATTTAATATGAAGCACCCAACCATTTGAAATTGACCTAAATGAAGCAACCCCATTAGCATGATTGAGGCCTGCATTACTAACGCAACCACCGGGTGTCCCGATTGCTTGTATAAATGCAGCTGAAGTCATGCTGAGAAAAAAAAATAAAAATGAGGTAGCACATAAACAAGTTAAATAGTATTTTCTGAACTTATTAGTTGATGAAAATATACATACTAAAAACTACTCGACCATTACCACGCCACTGCATACGCACTTAATTACTAATGATTTCACAGACATGTCGAAGATTATTTTTTTCAGCAACACTTGCAAGTTTCCATAATCATAGACAGGAGTTGAAATCAAAGGAATGCATGACCCGGGTCGATTATTTTTGAATCACAGTTTTTTCCGCAGTCGTTTACCAGCAAATGAATTCTTTCGTACAATTATGAAGTAGACATATTTGTACAAATTTAAAGGCCATCAGCAGTAAATTCAAAATTTAGTAACGATACTACTCATATAAGCGGAAAATCGTCAACTGCAATATTGAAACAAATTGTGTGCGAAATACATACAATTCACAAACAATATCGGATCTAATGAAATAATTCCGGCAATAAACACTAGTTTCTGCAATCCAAACAACCAAAGAGCCAATCAAAACAGTAGAATACAAAGTATACCATACGAATATAATGAATACAACAACAATGGTCAATGATTAAGGATACAACAACAATGATCATGTTCACAAGTGAAACAACAAAACAAGAAAGAGCAAACGATAACCATCAAGACGAAAACAAGAATACAAGAAAGAACACTACTCAGGAGTAAAAACCCAGTATAGATAGAGAAGAGATGAAGAGATCTTACACGAAAATTAGAATGCGATTCACACAAATTATCTCAAGAATCAAAAGGGTGTTCGATAAAAACGAGAGAAAATAGGTTATTTCAAGGAAAGTTGGCGGAGGAAAAAAGGAACAAAAAAAAGCAGCCTGTAAAATTTGGCCAAACACCAAAGAACACCAACAACGACGACAGAGCAATGCAACTAAATTTGCTTGTCGTGTAATCTGAAGAAGAAATTTGTGGCGAGTTGTACGCTAGAGTACAACTCGAGGTAGAAAACAAGACTGGTTGGTGGAAGAGAAGAAGAAATTGGGAAAATAATTTGGTCTTTTGTTTCAATTACCCTTTTCTTTTTGTGTTTTGGGGGTTTCAACACGCGTCTCTATGACGGATTCTGCTGAGACTTGAGAGCAATGTGCTGTGTTTTTTTCTCTTTTTTCTTTTTTTCTTTTTATTAATTCTTGTTTGGTAGGTAGCCCGGCATAGGTAGACATGACCACGGGTCAATTGGCCCGTCGACCCGGCCAGGATCCGGCACGGACTCGATACGGACCCGACTCGGTCAAACCCGTTGATCACGGGTCCGAGCTCGGCACGGATTTCAAACGGACCGATCAAGGGTCATGTTTTTTTCGACATTGACTCGACGAGTCGGGCTGGATCCGTGTCGGCACGGAAAAAATATTATTTTTGAATTTTTTCTTTTTTACTTTTTATTTTTTTTTATGTGGCCGGATCCAAATCTGGGTCGGGCCCGGCCCGGCCCGCCTGGTCATGGACTTGGCACGACCCTAGGTCCGTGCCGGTTCAGGGTCGTCGAAACCCAACCCGGTGGCTTGGCGGGCTTGGCCATGTCTAGGCATAGCCGCATAGGTGACTTTATTACAAATCTTATATCAAAAAGTTTGTGTTTAATAAGAAGTCACCTTATATTTTATTTAAATTATTATTTGTGTCTTCGTCGAGTATTTGTGGATTAACGGATATTATTTATCTGATATGCAAACAAACAGCCCTTATTCGGAGACGAGGGACGACAATCTTGATTTTTCTATGACAATTGACTCGAATGGCTTATGCTTGCCACGTACAACCGTTCAGATGTTCTTATTTCGAGTTTGAGTAGACCCTCGGGATAATTTTCTTTATCCCCACGAGACAAACACCATTTGGACACACGACATAACACCACCGTGTAGAGTACGCGTATTATTTTCCTTATTTTATTTTTCTCTTAGTTCTTTTCCTTGTGTTCTTGTGTGTTTGTTTTTTCTTGTTTGCGCTTATTGTTTTTCGTTATTGTTCTTCGCATGAGTTTACGTGATTATGTGTTCCTTTCGTGTGCATTTTGGTCAAGCAATGAGAACATTGTCTTGTTTTAAGTGTGAGAGAGAGATTTTTGTGATTATGCATGCTTAGGTGTTTTATTTTTGTGTTTCGTGCGTCTTGGACTAAGTGTGATATAATAATAACTAGTACAACACCGTGTATTACACGAGTGCTTGTTATTTATTTTTTACAAAAAATATATTATTATATATTTTAGAATGACACTTGTTACTTGCGCATTTTTTTTTTTTGCCAGAACGATAGAAGTAATATAGAAGAGTACAAAAGTGCAAAAGGAACAAATTACAAGACCCTAACATGGTAATCTAAGGCCCCAACAGGGTAATGAGACAGGGGCCAACGGCCCAAACCAAAAACATGCCTAAAAACAAACAGGAATAAAAAACTGAGAGGACACGCACATGGCGGCCTAGAGACTCCACAAGCGAAAAGTAAGAGAAAATGAAAAACAGAGCCACTGCACAATGCCTAGCCTGTATTCATCTCTGAAACAAAAACAAACAAACACACTGAGCAAAATAAAAGGACAACTACAAAAAAACCAGATAGCCAAAAAAACTAAGGGCTTGCTTGTATACAAAATAATTTATTCACTTTTATTTCAACTCAAAATCTAACTCAACTTTAACTCAACCCCACTATCTTTAAT